TATATATATAGTTTCTCAATCATTTATATTTAACATGCAGTGAGGTTGAAACTGCATGCTACCGTTTTAAGTTTATAGTAAATAAATTAGAATAAAGATAACATTTATTAATCCAATTACTTACTCATGATCTGATAATATTGCTTCATGTTTCTGCAAAATTTTGTTAGCAAGCTGAAAATAGATAATATCTTTTCTGGTACATTTTTCTATTGCATTTTGAAGAAAATTTAAACACGCCTTTCTCACTTCTTCCGAGTCCGATGATAATGCAATTAAAAGTGAGAGAAACACTAAAATAGAAAAATTTTATTGAAATATATTAAAAATAAGACAAACCACTTAATTTCTTAAAAGAAAATGTAATAAACATGTCCAGATTTATTTTAGAATCTTCTAGAATAGCCCCAACTTAGATAAGTTTTTCTTGTAACCCCTACTTCTTTGTCAATGAAGAGTTATTGTGCTTTCTGATCTTTTAGTAATATATATAACAAGTGTTATGGCGCTACTTGGCACTATTTTGCAGTATCCCTGGTTAAAAATTGCTGCCTTAACTACTTGGTCAACTAGCAGTCACTTTTGATGGATCAGTTATGCACGTGACACGAGAAATGACATTCTGACCCAAACTACCCATACCTGACGCAAACCTACCTTAATTATGAGAATCTAAACTGAATTCAAACTCAAATATCCATGGCCTTATTTTGTAGTGATCTCACCAACTTAAAAATCATAATTTTTGAATGGAGACCATAAAATTAAATTTTTCTATATGATAAACAGGCTGATTTATCCCAGGGGAATGACAGCATGCAGTTTATGTGAGGTTATACATTCCTCTCCAGAGGGTGTTAAAAAGAACAAAATAAGTTACATCACATGACATCTCGTAGATGCTAGTTTTTATTCTACAATTGCAAAACTGTACGTTACTTCAAAAACCATAATTATATGTTTTATTTCTACATTTTGTCTTCTTTGTAACAATGAAGTGTAACAATGAATTTTGTGGAATGCTGAAAGTGCTTTTTTATATCTATTTTATTGTAATTTGGTCCAAAAATGCAAAAATAAACATATCAAATTTCAGAAACTGGCAATAAATTATCTCAACTTAACCATTTTGTATGAAATTTGAGAGAAAAGAGTTACCTTTCAAGATCAGGATAGAATAGGAAAAACTATTATTTTCAGGCAGATTGTCAGTGCAGCTGGCATTGACTAACAACTATTACTATTAATGTCAATAAACTGCTAATTGTTTTATTACCCTATAAAGGAAACCTCTTCATGGTTGTAAGTCAGTCAAATTACAATGTTATTATTTTATTGTACTCAGAAGAATGTTTTCTTTAATATTTATTTAATAAATAGCTTTTTATATCTAATTCATTTTATTTTTTAGTCACAGTTTAACTGGCATACCGGTAACCATGGGGGGTTTCCGGCATGCCAGTTAAATATAATTTAGAACACACATATATATGTTCTAGATTATTTATATGGGATGCTTGTTATAAGAAATTGGAATGGCTTTTATAATATAACTTTTTGCATAATAAGAGGAGATAAACTTATGCCTAAATGAATGTTGATTTTGACTTTAGTAATTGGCTATAAAGCACAAACATCCCTTCAGACGAACACTTATAATAATCAAAATTAGATGTACTATATAATATGGAATGGTGCTGGTCATGTTGGCTCCTTATAATGTTGACAATTAAAAACAAATGGAATAATTAATTAAGTTTCCAAATATTTTGAGGATAAATGTAAGAATTGTCATCTTTTTTCACAGAAAAGCATCTTATTAAATCTATCATTTCTTTAATTGTTGATTATAAATAATAAATTTTCAAACTCTGAGCTAACACAATTATGTTATTCTTATGTCGAATTATTTGTAACAAATTACAATTCTGTATTCTTTTTGTGCATTGTTTACAATATTCTGATGACGAGAATGTTGGATCTTAAAAAGTACTTAATAAACAAAATGCCTGACCTTTGAAAAAAGGTTGTCCTTGGTTTATTTATTTATAATAGCCATTCAAATTAAACGAATACTTAGTATTTTTAAAGTATATTTAATATAGTTTTTTTCTATCTGAATAAAGTATTGATTTTTCAAATTAATTCCTATTATAAAAGTATATTTCTCTATCTACATAATAATTATTTTATAATATGAAAATAATAATTAAAAGTTTTTTCTTTTATTAAAAATAAATTAAACGAACCTGTAGAGCCATTATCGAATATCCAATCTGTAGATTCTTTAGACTTAGAAACAATAATCCCTGCAGTGATTAATGATCGTATTTGCTGGACTGAAGAAATAGATAACAACAAATCCTTACTTTGTAACTTCAAGAAATTTGTAGACCATAACGAGGACAGAAACATTAATTTATCTTTTAAAATAGGTAGTTGCAGCTAGAAAAAAGAAAAAAATACATAAGATTTGTTAATTAAAACTCTTCATATATGCACCGAATAAGTATAGTACTTGAATATTCGTAAAATTTTGAATAATTATTACATAAAATAATGGTTAATCTATAAATATCTAATTTTTTCTCCACAATAAAACCTAATGTGTGATGCCAGAACATTATGAACAATGTCTGGCCCAATTTTGCCTATTATAGATGGGTCATACCCACAATACAGTTGGCTAGCATAAGCAAATGAAAGCATATGGCAGCTAATATTAACTATCCAATGTAAGTCTTGAGAGTCTGGATTAGATTCAAACCCAAATTTTTTATAGCAATGAACTAATGCCTAACTGTCCACATCATTTGGCTCAATTTTGTATTAATATCATATAAATTAAACAGTTGAACACATTTATTTATAGAAATATCAAAACTTGTATTCAACGTGAATGATTGGTTTTGTGAGCCCACGAATTTTAAAGGGGATTTTCAAATTGATGTTAATCATTTTTCCAAATAAATATCCCCGACAAAAAAAAAAAATGGTGAATGACACTTGACACTTAGCTGTCAAAAATGCTTCGTTAGCATCAACATTTGACGATCACATGACAACTTTCCCACAACCATAGTATAAAAGTGTGAGCTGCTGGAAGCTCGGACAATTCGTCATAGGAAATTATAATTGGTGATAGTGCTACCTCAACTCCCGGACCTCCATACAACGGACCCGATCCAGCAAAAAGGAGAAGACACTGATTGAAAAATACTAAGGACTCCTACCTCTTCCATACAGACAATGTTTGCCATATCGACTCTCCGTTATTAAAAAGCCATCTGAAACGACAACATGGGCAATCTTTGCAGACTGTTGCCGAGAAGTGGTCAGTAGGGATTAACCCTTGGCCCACGGTATCTCACAGTTTGTTGATACAAGATACCAGCACATTAACAGCTATTTAGCTCAAACCTACAATATTTTACCTAATATACAAAAGTCTGGTCTTTGGTGGAGGTGTCATAGCCAGGAACAGGACACGACACATTGTAGAAATTAAGAATTTCTAATATTTTTACTTAAATTTAAATCATGTTCCTCAGAATGGCATTCAAACATCTCGCAATATGCTAATCTTTGAATGGCAAAGAATAAGTTTTCACACAAATTTAGCAGTTAATTGTAATATTTTATTAATATATCTATTTTATGTTGATATATAACTGATTTCTTATGCCCTACAAATTCTAACAATTTTATTTGTTGTTTCAAAAGCTGTTGTTAGTACACCAGATTGTAGGTTTGAATCCAGCTTCAAGACATGAATATTCGTTATAGTCTGCATATTGAAAGAATCAACTTGGGTATTAACCAACAAGCATTAGCCATTGATCACTTAGTTGTGGCAAGTTACTTCCGGTTTTATCCTCATTTGTTAAACACATCACCACCATTATAAACCTGCTATAAAAGAAAGTCCAAAAGAAGGAGACAAAAAAGAAAACTTCAGAAACAATAAACAAAATCATGTCAGCCCTAAGCCGCTAACCACAAGCAGACTATAATCCTCACTCAAGCACCCAGTGTTACGAAAGCTTCACATTCTGGTATTGGAATATGAGGAAGTCTGCTATAGTACTTGTTAAATGTATGATTCTTTACAGTTAATACATGCTATAAATAAAATAAAATTCACACACAGCCCAAAATATTAAGCGAAAGGTGCTAATGTCATTAAGGAATGTGCTGATTGGTTAAGTGAAGTGATATCACACGTGACATTGCTCCCAAGTTGATTCTTTCGATAGACAGATTATAGATTTAATAAAAACTGTGATTTGGAGGGGAGAATATTGAACCCCATAACGATCTGTACGGTTTCTCTATGCATAATGATAAAATATTTTATCTACAATAAATTTTAAATAAATTTTACCTTCAAAAATTCAGCAAAAAGTCGTTGAAATTCATCCTTTAAAGTGGAATTTACTAAATTCATTTGTTCAGTAAAAACATTAAAGAGCTGCAAAAGTATTCTCTCTTTGTTCTTCAATTCTGTAGATTCCCAGCTTAGCCACTGTGCTGTTTTCTCTGTTTAAAAATAATTTTTCAAATTTTGAACAGATAAATAAAATTAAATACATCAGAATCCTTTAATTGTAATCAGCAGTGATTTGATGTGAAGAAAATTAGCATGTTCTGAAAAACAAATTCAAATATAACATTTCATTTATTGTAATCAAGAGTTAAATTTATCATCATTTTTGGGTAAACAGGCATTTTTTATGATGTTTTTTCATATTATTATCTTCAAGTGACAATGCATAATCATATCAGCTATCATTATTAGTCTATATATATATATTCACTTATACAGGATATCCAAAAAGCTACAATGCAGTGAGGAATTTGTAATGACATTAATTATACACATGGTATTACATACATACAATGCCACTCCTAGCATTAGCAGAATTAAATATGATGCAGAAGAGATAAAAATTTTGAAATCAACTCAAAATGTCAATCGCTTGTACGATGAAGAATACTTAAAATTTGGATTTACCTGGACCAGAAATTCAGATTGTCTAACTCCTCTCTGCATTGTATGTGGAAAGAAACTTGCAAATAGTGTGATGGTGCTTGCTAAATTAAAGCGTCATTTTTCAACTGAACATAAAGATCTTTCATCAAAAAATAAAGAATATTTCAAAAGGCTTCTGGAAATGCAAGGTAAAGAAAGAAGACAATTTGAAAAAACAATGAAAGTAAGTGATAAAGCTCAACTTGTATCATATAAAATTGCTGAGTTAATAGCATTAAAATCAAAGCCATCCACAATACCAAAATCTCTCATTTTACTTGCCTGCTGTGAAATAGTGACAATTATGTTTGGGGAAGAAGCAAAAAAGGAAATTTTGAAGATTCTGGTATCTGAATATCAAATTTTACTCATTATTACTGTCTAGAACCCTGTAGAACAAGGCTGCCCAAACCCAGGCCCACGGGACACTTTGTAGCCAACAGATTTGAATTTTCCCACCCACAGTAGCGGTCAGCTGTCACCACGCACGATGTCATGCTACCAATAATGCCAACTGCCACATGATTGGTCGAACACGGAATGAACTATGACTTGAGTCACCGCCATACCGCTGTTAATACCTAACCTATGCATTTATTACACTTGTTCTATTAGTTTTGAGTCGACTTTTGTGTATTAAAATTAAATTGTTGTCACCAAATATTGAAAAATTATAGCTAATAAGCCCCTTCATAAGTCTCATTGATGTATTTTTAGATAGGTATTATTATAGGTATTCTTATAGATAGGTATTATTATAACATGTGCAACTTAAAGCTTTGTTTGATTCAAATACCTATCTATTTATAGAAGAATCATGAGTGTAAGCAAGTATGATTCACTAGGTGGCCTTCCGGCTGACATATAATTGAAATATAGCCTGCCTCCAAAATGAATTGGGCAGCCCTGGTGTTGTAGAAGATATACACTACCATGATACACGGACACTCCCCATCCCTCCCAAGTTTTTCAGCTTGATACTTTCTGATAAACATAGCAATGGTAGGTTAAAATAACCAAACATATAATATGATTTTCATTTTAATGTTCATCCTTCTTACTTTTTTCCTAGATAGCAATATAAGTGAGTTCCAAATTGATTACAATAACTGGATTCTGCTGTATATAATTAAATTTCTATTATTTACAATTGCATCTATTGTATAATAATTAAAAACATAGATTTACCAAATTCGTATTTAATACACTTGACTAAAGAATTTAAACAATATATAAGCAAGTTCGAGGGAAATTTATTTTTTCTCGACTTTATCCATTGCTCCATCACTTCTTCAAAACTATCGGCATTCTTTAATGAAGATAACTATTAAAATAATTTTAAATATTACTGTTAACCTTCTGTTTTATATTTATAATTTAAAACATTAACAATAAAATTTATTTAAGCTTACTTTTTTAGTTTTTAAAAGGAAATAGTAATATTTTATAGCTCCAAAACCAATATTTAGTTGATTCTCCTGTTTCGCTTCATGCTTTATCAGGAACTCATAAACCAGAGCAATAATTACATTCAAAGGCAATTCTTTCGCCTTCAGATATGATGCTGTTTTTGTGAGATTAATCTTGAATGTTAAAAAAAAAATTATTATTTTTAATAGAAAATTATATAGAATAGTATAAAATATTTTAAACTACTTAAATTAAATTGTATTATGGTAGAACCCCAATTATTCAATGTTATGTGAACCAATGCTACCTTGGATAACTGGAATCTTTGATAAAAGTGGATGGCCGTGGATTAAAAATGGATGGATTTTGGATAAAAAAATTACAAATGTGAAGAATGTAGACTTTCTTTCAAACACTTTCCTCCCTGGGGGCATTAACAGGGCCATTTTAACAAGCCCATTACGGATACATATACCAACCCAATGTGCATATGTAACAAGTTTACAACCACTGGATTATATCAGGCTATAATATCACAATTATTTTAAATTAATTACTAAATAATTTGTCACTAGAGGGAGGAGTAAGGTGCCACCTCTTATTAGGTTTAATAATTATAATTAAATTAAATAATTTAGACAATTCTGAAAGAAAGGAATTGGCATTTATTATTATTTTATTTAATTTAATTATTAAATCTAATAAGAGATGGTGCCTAATGCCTTCCTCTAGTGACAAATTATTTAGTAATTAATTTAAAATAATCATGATATACTAGCCCAATATAGTCTAGTAGTTGTTGGCTTGCCCATTATGGATTCGGCCAAGCCTGTAATGGGCCAGCCAGATGGCATATCGGGACAGACCACCCCTGAAAAATTCCTGGGATTTCTTTCACATTAAAAGTTTAGCAATAAAAGGTAACAGAAAGGTAGTGTGTTCATTCACAAGTTAGCTGCAGATAATGCAAAATCTCAATTAACTGGGGTTCTATTATACATAAAAATTACTACAATTTTAAAACAAAATCTTTCATTAAAGTTAATGACTTAAGTTACAGTCAAAATACAAGGTGCATTCAAGTTATAATGCTTCCGATTTTTTTTCTCAGGACTGGAAACAGATAGAAACATGCAGTTTGTTTTAAAATATGTGTGCACTCGTGAATGTGTGACAGAGATGGTAGCACTGTATGGCACAGAACTTTAATGGCAGCGGCGAGAGCGAGGACTGTTTTTGATACTTAAAATGGTGATGTTTTTATTACAAAAATAGTGTGTAATCATTTGTTTTCTCCTTTGAGTGGTGTGACACCGATTGAAATTCATCGCCAGTTGAGTGAGACATTTGATGATGGTGTCATGGATGTGTCTAATGTGTGTTTGTGAATGCAACAGTTCAAAGAAGTCAGAATGTCGTGTGACAATAAACCAAGACAATCTTGGCCTTGCACCAGCCGGTCTGACGACATGATCAAGCGAGTGGAGAAAGTTGTTTTGGAGGATTGCTGAATGAGTGTGGAACACATTGTTTCCAAAGTTGGCATTTCTGTGGAATCCTGCATGATGACTTGCATGCAGGATTCCACATGACAATCCTGCATGAAAGACCTGAAAAGACCAGCACATCAGGAGAACATGATGCTGCAGTTACTTTGTGACAACAACTTTGAAGTGATTTCTCATGCTCCCTACTCACCTGACCTGGCTCCTAGCGACTTTTGGCTGTTTCCAACAATGAAAGACACTCTCTGTAGTCACACATTCACTAGCTGTGCTGCTATTGCATTAGCGATTTTTCAGTGGTCAAATCAGACTCCTGAAGAAGCATTCACAGCGGTAATGGAATCATGGTGTTGATGTTGTGAAAAGTGTGTATGGCTGCAGGGAGATTATGTCAAGAAGTGATACAAGTTTCAAAGTTTTCATATGATTAGATTGTGAGGAAAAAAAAATCAGAGGTGCACCACGTATATGCAAATATTTTTATTAACATTATATTTCACCCATTATAGGTTAATCTGATCCTTCGACACAGATAAACAATTAAAAGAAGCAACTTGGCTCAATTAACCAAGACAAATTACAAGAATATGGTTCAGATTCAAATCAAAATCATATNCTTTTTTCCCCAACTTTAGCAAGTATCCTATCTGCACACCTCCCTTCTTTACCAAAAGTATGTATTTTTTGCCCTCGGTATCATATACCTATCATCGACAATGATGTCACTGGTAAGACGATACCTGGGTAAACATTGGCAGCATTTAAACTTCTTCTAACCGACGGTCCACAGTGTACCCGAGGAAGGCCTATTAAGAAGGCCGAAAACGTTTGTACTCTTGTTAATAAGGCTAGAAATTAGTGAGAAAGGTTTTGTGCTGATAATCTTAGAAATAGTTCTAGCTACATATGCATAGTAGTCCTCTCCATCTGTACAGTGGTGCTCTACTCTCCTTCAGTTTTGTCAATATTGCCACTACAGTGTAATTTCATTTAAGAAACCAAATACATTAAGAAAAAGAACATTTCTGTATCAATAAATACAAATATCAAACCAGCATAAATAATAATTATATCTAATATTAGAAAAACAATTAAATTAATAACTCTTTTCAGCTCAGTTGAACAACTTTATATTAATAAATTCATAATTTCAAACCTATTTTGATGATATACTTCTTTAATTAAAGTAGCACTGAAATTATAAATTATACTGAAGATCTTTTTTCTAAATTCTAAAGTTACATAATACACCTTTAATATAACCATCATAATATTTGCGATTTGTATATTAAATGAAAATTATCAAACAAATTTAACTGGCTAATTCGTAATAACATATCACATCCGACATTTCTTTCAGATTACATATAGCATAAATATGGACATCTGCCAGGAATGAAAAACAGATCATTTTCTCTCACTGGATCAGGTTTGGAAGTCAGAACCGTGTAATTAATTCCCTAAGGAGTGTGAGAAAATTCTACTCTCTGTGTCACTCAGTAGTAAAGTAAATTATCTGATATAAGCTCAATTAGAACAGTTTATGCAGTAATTATAAAGGAAATATATTCCTTTGTCCCATTGGAAAAGTTGCAGTGGACCCCAGTGAGCACAAATTTAATATCATACATAGCACATATAAACTCACGAAGGCTATAAATTTTTTAAAGAATTACTTCTAACTTGCAAACTCAAAATGTTGTAAATATAAATGTCTTCTAGAAATTTTATGTAACTAAATTTTATTTACTCTCATTAATTTTGAAAATATTTCATATAAATACAAAATGTGAGCAATACATTTATGATTATTTATTGTCAAAGGTATTTTTAATTTTCAACATAATACAATACAACATTAGTATGTATATTAGACACCAAACACTACAAATGTCCAACATTTGAAATGAATTGAATGTATTCTGTTAATTTGCATCATAGAAACAAAATATTTTTATTGTACACAAACTTTATAATTTAAAAACTATAGCCATATATATATATATATATATAAGTTTCGTTTACAAAGATAAACAAAGAAAAAATAAATAAATACATATAAACATACATAGTTATGTATACTGAAGCGGTAAGAAAATTCATTTCTTCGGAATAATTTATAGCAGTTTATTTATAAACAGAATTCGAAGGAATCTTCTCCTTTTTAGTAAATGGTTTATAAGTAGAATTTTTTACTTTCCAAATTTAATTTTCGAAAGTAAATTTAAGTAAACATGTATCTAGACTTCTATATATATATATACACTATGTATGTCGGTGACGCGTTAAGAAAACCATCTTTTGTTCTTTAAAAAAAAAAAACTCATAGCTTATCAAGTTATCAGGTATAATGACTTAGATCAGGGGTGGCCAACAGTTTTTGCCCCCCGGGCCGAATTGCAAAAAAAACTTCTTTTCACGGGCCGAACCTGATGCTGCCCTAGGAAGATTTTGAGGTGGTGCGAGATCTCATTGTGGTGTCACCCCGTAGAGACTAAATTGTACATAGAGATTATAGATACATTTTTCACATTATCATGCTTTATCAACATTCTACGCTGTACTTAACAGATTTATGATGGCGGGTTAACTC